GAAATTCTGTTATTTCCTCTTTCCGCTGTCTCCTTGTGATGTAGGGTTACGTCACCGCTTGGTGCGAGGAAGAAGGAGTACTTGGCATGGTATTACTGAAGTACTTCGGAAAGGAAATGAAGGAAGACTGGACTCGAGAGATCGATATAGTACAAGACCTTTCTAGTAACGAAGATCCGCATGACAATCTTCTTCGTTATCGCTGGCACTCTAAAGGCAAGTGGCCATCTTTATTAAAAAAAGATACATCCCTCATTTCATAGATTTAGCAAAAAGCGAAAAACAAAAATCCACGGCAAATCGAAGATGCTCTGAAAAGCAATAGCATCTTGTTTAAACAGTAATACAATTCCCTTCATGAATGGAGGAAGGCTAGTTGATGGGTTCTTGAATTGAAAATGAAGAATTGGACCTGATGATTTGCAATACAGTTGGCTAGGTCATGTGTCAGATAGGTGGAAGTAGAAGAAGATACCTAGTTTTGTTTCAAGTATCAGTGGGCTGCTAAAATTACAGGTTGTGTCTGCATTATACCACCGTTGTTGTGGAATTTCAGCGTCTGAACAGAGCATTGAATATGGAAATACGAAGATCCATGAGATACAAGGAAGTAGTTGGTAAGTTATATTTGGCCAAACCATGAAACTCATATAATAAGTTGTTTTGTTGATAAATTGAACTAAGAACAACGATATGGCTATAGAAAACCTTGAATTATTTCAACTTAGTTTAATTCGGACTTAAGAAATTTGAAGTCCATTGTTTTATGCATGACACTTTCTTACCGTATCTGCTCTTATTGACAATGCCAGTGTAGATTTATCCCTCAATGTTTACTCTTACGCTCATCTCTTAACTGGTGGTAATTGATCCCTTCTGAATTTGTTAAGGCTCATCTGTTACGATTTTGAGTCGAGCTCCACTTTGGAAGATTTTCTTTCGGAGAAAGGAGTTGTTATCGACTTCGACGCTGTATGCGCTGTAGCTTGTGACGTCATCAGCGCCATAGAACGTCTGCAGGATTATAAGATGGCTCATAACAACATCACAACTGGCAACATTTTGATCAGCCAGTGTTCAAGAGTAAGTGAGTGACTATTTCTTAGAGTCTAAAAACGTTCGCAGACTTTTGGTAGCATCATTTAGTCGTTAATGGCCGTTGAATTGTTCATGTCTCGCCTACAGTCTTACAATAACTGATAGATGCGTTTTAAATCGTGTCTCTTTATGCGTTAGAAAAATTTTTCGCAATGATTTCCACTTCAGAAGGTTTTAAAAATCGTTTCTAAAGACCGCTTTCAATAATGCCGGCACCCATTTGATAGTTATCTGAAATTAGTCCTCTTGGCTTGGCTAACTAAGTTAACAACAATATAGTTTCATCCTAGAGCGTGGCCAAGAAGGCTTTTAAGCGTGCAAATAAAAAAATTAAGAACTAATCCTCCCATTATGAATGAAGTCCACGAAGCAAGTTTTAGAGAATCGACTCGTTCTCCAGGTACCTCCGATCAAAGCCGTTTTGGGTGGATTCTCTCAAGCCTCTACCTTGAATGGTGCAGGTGCGTTCATAAACTCGGCTGTCGACGAACAGAGTTGCCATGGCCAAGACATTGAGCAGTTTGGACATTTGCTAGCTACCTTATTAGGACACTGCCATGGCTCCAGTGAATACGTTAAGGTAAATACGGTCTAGAAACAGCGCGGTTGATTTGCAAATGGTGATCCCCGTTAAAGTATTCGGTCACGATTAAGCGCTGCTTGAAGATAGTTTACCGTCTTTTAGTTGGTTTTCTTGGCTTTAGTGGACACGATTGAAAGCTGGCATCTTTTATTTTTCATCTATTTGTTTTACTTTAACAACTAATTACGGTGCAGCAAGAGTACGACAAAAAACAGCCCCGACTAGTGCTCAAGACCAGTCTAGTGCATTTCGTCGAATTATCTTACGTCGTAAAGGCCGTTGTTATTTTAAGTTTCGGCACTAGCCTCATAGTAAAAGTGGAACTCTTCTCTCGATCTCTAAAAAAGTGGCACTGGTTCATACAAAGCTGATAATAATCATAGAGTTCTCTTGTGCAGTGCATACACATGAAATTGGCTGATTAAAAACGGAGCTTTCTTTGTCTTGTTTTGTTCATGTTTTGTAGTTGCATGAGATTATGAACCTGTGTTTCGAGGATACAGAGAAGGGGCCTAAAGCAAGTTACATCCGCGATTTATTGGAAGAAACGTGGTGCGCTGAGGGAGTTTGGGATACATACCTATGAGGAAAGTAAAAAAAACATTCGAAATTGGTTGCTTCATCACATTTGGTACCGCGTTTGAAATAGTTGCATGAGTGAAATCGACGATTTCTCAGAGTATTTGGTCAGCTTTTTTACATTACCTTTATTGAAACAAGAAACGTCTATCGACTATTTGCGGAACATCGAAAATTTGCTGTATAGGTGCTCTCTATCATGGATAGGTCGTCGTAGAAGCAGAAAACCACTGCCTTACGAAATGACTACGCAACTATCACATTTGGTAGATTTTAGAAATGTTTGTCGATTCCTTATTTATCAATAATAATAATAATAATACTAATAATGTGAAGGTGTAGTCTGATCGTCCGGGTGAGTGTAGTCCTGAGCAGGACTGTTGTCGGTGGT